AAAAAGGGACTCACCAGCTCCCACCTCCACTGATTGGTTCAATTCATTTATAAAAATGCATCAAGTTCTTTTCAATGAAAAGCTTCTTTGATTCAATAGGAGGGACAGAAGAGGGAGAAAAGGGCAGATAGAAGAAAAGAAGGAGGAAGTGTTAAAAGGAAGTGAAGGAAGAGGAAGAAGGTAGGACTGTAGGAGTGAGGTATGAGCTCAGAACACTCAGAGAACACTGGCCAGTTAGGGATTTGTCTGTGGGAAAAGAATTTCTGAATACACAAGATAAGACAGACACTCCATGAGCAGTCTGCACACGAAGTACTTTTAAAAACAAAATCACTTCCCCAGGAGCTTCCACTTCTTGCTTGATCAATGCTCTTGCAAGGCCTATCATTTTTAATTTAATACTTCTGGGAACTGGGAGGGGGGGAAAACCCTCATCAAACAGACACAGTTGGCAAGCACTGAGTGTTAGCATTTGGCATCATTTATTACCGCTGTTTATGGTGATATAAATTAGGTTATACTGATATAATTAATAACCCTAAATTTAAGTGTAATAAATAGTAAATATTTATCTAAAACCACAGTGTCTGGAGAAGCCCAGCCAAAACCACAAGACATTGACTACTGAGTTGTGACCATGAGCACACGCACGGAGTGCCAGGGCTGGGTGTGTGGGTGGAAGGCTTGCAGGTGGCAGCAGATGTTGGGGACAGCAGTGTGAGCAGGCTGCTGGCAGGAGGCTGCACGGAGAAGGCAGCACGCAAGCACCTCACACGGTAGCTTGCAACTGCACAGGCACACGTGAGCACACACACACTTCGATGCTCAGATGTGTGGTGGTGAGTTCAAGCAGAACCGTGTGGACAGCAAACGCTGTTCTGCCTCTTTATAAAAAGCTTTTTGTGCTGCTGTAATTGGGTTTTTTACAAGTTCCCGTACTGAATCCTGCTTCCAGATTTTAGACACCTGTGACTGTAATTTATTTACTTTTGGGGTACACAGATGTCACTTAAACAGATGAGCTTTATTTATCGAACTTTCCACATTCTGCAAGTTAAAAACAAGCTTAATAGTTAGAACAGTAGTAGATATAGATTGAAGAGAAAATGCTCCAAATATGCATACTTCAGTCTTTGTTTCAAACTGCCCAAAGGTTATGGTATGTCAGCATCTCACTTTCTAAGGAAGAAAACTCAGCTAAAAGGAGGGGGAAATGACCAAGGTCTCACAGTCCATCAGTGGCAGAGCCAGGAACAGAGCACAGGTCTCCACTGATTTTATATCCCTTTCCTCATGAAAGCGACACTTTTTTCTTTATGGATTCTCCAACATTTAGTAGAAGTTATTTTCTTTTAAAGCTTTCATATTTTACTATGATTCAGTTTTAAAAGAGGCTAGATGTACAGGCAAAAGTTGTGAGCCATCAGACCAAACAACACTTCTTATTTTGGATTCCTGCAGAACAGTTTGTGCAAAATAAAGTCGGGCTGCAAGGACACTTTCTCTTAAATATGTGGCTTTCACTTCAGACTGACTTACACTACTGGTCTTGGAGATTAAGGCTATTTTTTTCCATTGTAATTTATATAAAAAGAAACAAAATTAAAACACAATATCAGGTCAGACCACAGGTCTATATGAGGCAACATCCTGTCATCAACAGTGGTCAAAAGCCAGCATCTAGCAGAAAGTGCAAGATAAGCTTTATGAAAAGCAGTGCCTATTTTTTAATTTAAAACACCTAGCCATTATCAGATCAGCTGAATATTATTTAACAAGCCACATACCCAAGTGCTGTTCAGGATGAAGCAAAACACCCTGCCACACCCTGCAACACAACTGCTCACCAATTCTCTCTGCACTGAACAGAATCAAATTAGCTGCAATATTTGGGAGCAATGTATATTTTTATGTGCTGACAACCCCACTCGTACACGAACACTTGCATCATCACTACCTTCCGTTAGCATCAGTGACAGGGTTGCAAGTCTCTCCATCCCTGACAGGCAGGAACCGATTCTCAGAGCCCTGACTGAAATCAAAGGGAGGGTGGAGAGCTGCTTCCCAGCTGAGCCACACGCAGCCGGAGCGTAATCGCATTACTGCAGTCCTATCTGTGTTAGGGGAACATTCGTCGTGTGTACCTTTCAGATCACATTATCCAAAGCAAATACTAAAGCCCTGATCATCTTGTTGCTGCATGAGGCTCCCAAAGAGGGATGGTGTGGTGCCCTGCTGGGATAAGCGCTCTTCTGCTGAGCCACGCCTGCGGCGGTGAGCCGGCTGGGGAAGGGGCACAGCTGGGCTGCTGGAAGAAATCCTTTGTGACCGCACGCTGGCATTCATCTCTGTGGCGGGTGAGGAAGCATGATGCACATCCCAGAACACAGGGCTGCGGAGGAGAGAGAGTAAGGGGATTCAAAGAATTGCCAAGAAAAAAGAATGCAACTTTTTTCTTAGAGATACCAAGATGATAGCGGCAGTGGCACTACAACAGAAGAAATCCTTGTTTCACAGCAAGAGATAAAAATCACTGGTTACCACGTATAGCAATTTCCAGTGTCCAGCACAGAACCCAGATGCTTATTGGCTTGGGTAGTGGCTTTGATGCATTCAGTATGTCCAGTTCTCATAGCGGGGAGGTGTGAGCAGGCAGCAACTTGCATAAAACTAGAAAAGAAGAGCAGGCTGAGATGTCGGCAGAGGGAACACCAGGCACTCCAGCAGCCTGCTTGGGGATGCCTGGTGGGACTTGCACAAAAGGGATTGCGAATCCCAGGTCCAGCAAGGCTGTTCATGAAATGGGATGTGAAATGGGTTTTAAAGATGTAAAAGAATATTTATCAAGTATCTTCTTACAAGTACTATGGTCTGGCTATAGACCAGCTTCCTGAGAAAATAGCTTCCCTCCCAATGTTGACTTGAAAGATCATAGAGTTTACTAGAGCATTTAAACCCAGAAAAAGTGAAACATGAAGCAGCCAAATAAATTTGCATGTGCACATACAGACATTAAGGGCCTGAAGGATCTTTGTCTTCTCCAGTGTGCATGGTTATCTCCAGCAGACCACCAGTAAACCTGAGGCCCAGAACAGAAGCATTTCTTTCGGTGTAAGAGGATACAAGTCTACTGAAAAAGCGTATGGGAAGAAATAAGAAAAATATCTGGGCCACAGTAGGATTCACAAGATAAAAGTATTGAAATCAAAGCATAAAGGAATGGTTCTCTCCTTTAACCAGGCCTCACAATCAGTAACAGAGCCACGGCCATGTTCCTTTTCCCCTGCTCCTTTCCCTCATGCATGGCTTACTGAACTTTTTAACTCGTCACCAGATTTAACTACAGTTTAAGCTCATGTGCACCAGGGAAGGCAAAGCACCTTCCCGTGTGACGCAAGCTCAGGCAGTACACTTCATCCAGGTGTCACTGAGAGCCAAGTCCTCCCTCCTGAGGGCTCCTTCTCTGCTACACTCACTCCTGACAGCTGGAGAAAAAAGGTCAGACATTCCCTCCAGTCGTCCATCTGCTGGAAACTTTAATTAAGCGCAGTGAAAGGAAAAAAAGAAAGAGGGGGAAAAGCCACAACCTTTCTTTCTTGCTTCTGCTGTCTGGAAGGATCAAGGAAGCATTTGGTACTGGCAGAGGCTTCGAATACTCTGGGGCAGTACCCAGCCACTCCGAGCACTAACCCCCGCAACTACTGATACGCTCAAGTCCTGGGGAGTGCAGCAGCGCGAAAGCTGTGACTGCTCTTAGTCACAGACTAGAGACTGTCAGCAAAGCCCAAGCTGCTCCCTGCTGAATCCCTCACTGAAATCAATTCATTTAGAACCAAACAAACCCAGCTCAGTTGTTGCTCAGGATTATTTTTTTTTTGGTGTTTCTCAGTACTCAAGCTACACAGCCAGACACAAAAGCAGATGGGAGTATGTAGCTTAAGAGAAGTTGTTCCTCCATGCTCTGCTATGCATTTCAGAGCTTGTCTAAACCCACCTTTCAGCTTCAAGATTTGTTCCATGTTCCATTGCAACAAGCCAGGGGACAAAGATGTTGCCAAAACTTGGAATCCCTTCTCCCCAAAATGCACATCCTGCCAGCCACTGGTGAGATGTTATCATAATGTCCTGCATCAGAGACAGGACTGACATTTATTAACCTACAGCCACCCCACAAACACCCAAAGAAGCGAGCAAACTCCACTGTCTGCAGAGACACTGGAGATTTTTTCCGGTGAAGTACAAGTCTGATTTATCTAAGTGCACTCTTCAAGCTTTCAAGGGAAATTCCTCTTTCACTGTCTGCACAGCGATGTTTACTTCATGTTAACGTATTAGGAACAGAGTTGTACTTTTTCCACTCGTGTACTAGGAGAGGGAAGGCAAGTTAGTGTGGGTGGCCAGGAATGGTGTAAAGGCAAAGAATACAAAAAGAATTAGTGTTTTCCAAGCTCAGATTCAGTATCTTAGGAAACACGTGGGAGTGAAGATTGAAAAGGAGGTGGGAAAAGGAGGGAGCTTCACCATATGGAAATATTTCCCTGAAATGTGAAAATTTAATAGATCCTTACTCATCATCCCCTCTACCAGGCTATACAAAGCATTAATTAAAGCCAGTTATTCCCAAGCATATCTTGCAGGTGATACCTGCCCTGCTGCTTTAGCAGAATAGATAGATCTCCATTTATCAAGAAAGATCCAGTTCCTCTAGCACCACTAATACTTCATACAGGCAACTGAAAGATCCTATGGTCACATGCATTACAGAATCACATACACCTGACAAATGCAAGACAGCACACTGGGCAACATGTGGATTCACATTTTCTACATAGGGTTGATCACAGAATGAACAAAATATAAGACAAAGGGAATTGTCCTGACCCAAGTCATTGAACACGAGACTTGCCAGGTACACAGGGGTAAAATCTGCAGACAAGCCCAGCAAAACCCCAGAATAAATACACATAAGTTTGCTGAATGTACATATAAGTAGAACTCACTTGCCATTGATGACTCCATCAGGATTAAGCATGGGTACAATCTTGAAAATGAAACACTTCCGCAGGAGATCAGCAATGGGATCACTGCTCACAAGGAATTCCAGGGTCCCCTTCATTACCCAGCTGGCATTGCTTTCACCAGGGTGAACACGGGCCATTAGAAACACATAAGGACGATTGCCTGTAAACAAAGCAAAAAAAACCACCCCAACTTAGGACTCCCTTTGAATATTTTTTTTTATGCATGGGTTTTATTCCTTTTTGAGATAACAAGCCAAGATGTATTTTAGGGAAAATACATTCCTAAATAGTCCAGACATTTCCTGAAGGTGCTGTTTGCCAACTGATCCCAGGTTTGGTCCTCAGAACTAGCACATGCTAGTTTCATCCCTATCCCTTTGCTTGTTTATTCTGTGATACCTTACAGATATTTGCCTGTACCATTAGAAGGCATTTTGCATGTGCAGATGACTGCTGCTCACAGCGGCACCAACATACTTTCTGATAATTCCTGGAAGTTTGATCCTATCAAATTACTTAATTTTCTGAAGTCCTGCTCCACTTCCAGTATTTCACCGTTAACAACTGAGAACTTTCCAAATCTCTAGGCAGATCTGTCTACCCATAAGGGCTCCAGGACATGCAAGCTGTCTGATCTCTGGCAGCAACCTGTGTTCTAGGGTCAGAATCATACCTAATCAAGTTAAACTGATATAATTAAAGAAATTACATTTATATATTGACCAGATAAGCTGCAGACTCAGAGTACTCAAACTAACCACCACTTCATACCCTTCCAACAAAAGGTAGAAATACTGTGCATAGCTAAGACAAGCTGTTACTCTTGGTGAACAGACAGTTTTTATCTTTACACGATACAGATGCACACTCAGAATTGCAAAGCTAATTTTCAGAAGTTGCAATTAGAAGAGTTCAACTGTTTCTAGCAACACATTTGGCATGGGAGACATAAGTTGGGGGAATTTAGGGTAGGGAAAAGGCTTGGGAGTTTACTTAAAAAATAAAAGAAAGAAAGAAAAGAATTACTAAACAGTTCATTGGTAAGCTCTGCTGAATCTGTTTCGAAGTAGACCTGCAAATTAACAGAGAAAGTTTCCTTGTTATCAGACATTTTATTGGCTGTTCCTGTGAAAAAGCATCCACATTTGGTCTAGCTATAAGTCTCCAAAAACTCTCAGTATACATATGCTCAGAAAAGACCAAGTTTGACAGCAGATTCTTTGAAGACCCCATCTGTGCCGAGCATATTCCACGGATGGGCCAAGGAAATATGAGATGGCAGAGGGAGACACCTGCCAAGCACAGAACATAAAGGGAAAGCACAAAGCAATTATCTCTCTTAAAATGATCCTTTTGTGAGCATTCACAATCTCAGGCTGTTGTCACAAGTCAACCTGACAGATTTACTTTAGTGGAAACCATTATCTGTCAGGGCATCACAGCAATGCCAGGATAGGTTTGTCCTGCTTTGTCAGGCAACATCAGAGCTCAGGCTCTGTCCCCTTGTGTAGATTTAGGGACACCAACTGACAAGCTTGGGAGTGGTAACAGGGTAAAAAACAAAACCAAAGGCATCATCTGAGTGCCCTTGTAAACAAATGCTGAACTCTCACGTTAAATGCCTTGACCCTTAGCTCCCAAAGCTGCCCTTCAGTTTCTAAATGCTGCAAAGTTTGAGGTGGAACATCATACTGGGGGGAGGTAGAACATCAGACTGAAAAACAGTCAAACAAAAGAAACCACTTTTTTCCCCTCTAAGTGTATATTCTGTGCAGTTCCACTAGAATTGTACACTCTTGTGTACATAGTTGCATCTTTCAGGGACACATTGAGATTTGGAAACAACCTCCCCTCTACAGCTCTCTGCTTCCTCTTAAGCAGTTGGTGGGCACTAGAAAAGCGAGCTGCACTCTCATCTCAAAGAGCTCATAGTGAGCAATCATGTTCTGGTCCAGTAAAGTGACTGGAACTCTGTTTCTCAACAACTATATATTAGTCTTTCATCATTCATAACACCTTACCTCACTGTGAGGTTCCTATATTTTGATCAATCTGTATACACAAGTGCCTAAGGCACTTACAGATTGAGAAAGATTATTTTAGCTCCTGTAGAACTACTAGCCACTCTGATTTATTCTTTTTTCCAAAAAAAAATTAAAGCACACAATGTCTCTTCCGCTCCAGCTAGTTTTGCATTACAGTCAACCTCAGCAGTGCTTTAAAATAACAACAAGCAAAAACTAGCTTTCAGGAAGGCATCAGCTGCATTTTGCCATTTCCAAACATTTTCTTATCTCTCCCATCACCATGATTTAGTGCTGTTTTGCAGGCTTACTGCTGAGCTAAACTTAGGGGACTGTGCTGTTGTAGCTGGGAAAGAGGCTCTTGAGGCCTCCTAATGGACAACAGCTGTAAATAGCACAAAGCAAAATGAAACGTGTTCTCTTTTGCAATTGATGAACACAGCTTTAACAACCCTTATCTCTTCTGTATATTGGGAGACAGCATAGCATCTTAATCGAGAGGTTCTGTCCTCAGTCAAAACAAGAAAAAAGAAAAAAATTCTAAGCCAGGGTTTTCTCATCTCAGAAACCTAAGAAAGTTTGCTATAATTCTTGTAATTGTAAGTAGCAAGGGACTGGCAGAGGCATGAGTTCTGTTCTTTCTCTCAAGGCTGATCAAAGTCAAGCTTATCTCACTTAGATTCAATGTCAGAAAAGCTTCTTGAGTTTCCAGATTTTTAAATCCAGGAACGGAGGGGTGGGGGAAGAGAACAGAGATCATCTACATTGTTTCCCTATGGGCAACAACAACAGGGGGCCCATAGCCTGTAGGTTCAGCCAAGAAAATCTCTCTGTTCCAGTTAAAGCTTCCTTTAAAAGCTTCTCTCCTGACAAGCACATCCGCAGCTCTGACATCCCATCCACGAGAGAGTCATAACAAAAGTACATAGCAGCAAAGACACTGCAGCTCTGCTCTGGCAGGGGTGCTGGACTAGATGATCTTTTGAGGTCCCTTCCAATCCCTAACATTCTGTGATCTTGTTACCTGCCTGTTCCCTTCACAGAAGCCATCACAGCCAAATCCCACATCCAAACGCTGTGCTCCTCCAGACCACAACCTGCATGAAGACTAATGGAGCAGCAAATAGAGCAAAGACACGGCCATAAAACTTGCTACCCTTGAAAAACCTGGCAAACCAAAGGCTTAACTCTCTGGCAGGCAGGAGTCACTCACTCCTATGCTTTATTTATAGCATATCCAGTCACTTATCTGCCTCAAAATTGTTGTGATAAGTGAGATGAATAATGCAGTTCATGACAGCAGTGGACAGCAGCACCAGCCAGCCACACCCAGCACTCCAACTGACAAGCACCCATCAAGATTTCTGCACTCAGTTCACTCCTGAATTCAAACACCCCTGTGATTACAGCCCTGACCATACCACTCCAGCACTACTCAGAACAGTCTACTGGTTTACACTGGTTCCCAGCTGCCATTCTCTCTGTGCTATTACAGAGCCCCTAGTACTGTCTCCCGTGAGCTGCTAAACCTATATTCAGGACACTCAGCCATGTTATTTCTCATATACATCCTTCCAGGCCCAGAACTGAACTTAAGTCTTCAAAATTCTCAGGCCAACGCTTAAGCAGAGCCTCATCAAGTTCTGGGGAAGCTGCCAGAAAGCTCAGGTTAGCCACTTATCTCTGCAAAACCCACATGGCACATAACCTTCTCTGGGAATGTAAATAATAAGAAGAGAAAGCAGAGAAACCTTTTCATGCTACATAAAACCTTATCCAACAGATCATGTCTCGTTACACTGTGTTACATTTCAACATGCCCAGAATATAACGTGGCACCAACAATACCCGAGGTGAGAGATGAAAGCATCACTGATTCATCTTGCAAAACTTTGAGCAAAAAACCCTTTGAGTAATAATTCTACTAATGTATCACTTCCCATCTCCCCTTCTCTTCACTCATTTTGACTGTGGATACATGCATGAAAATAAGAGCTTTGTTCTTACAGTACTGCTAACTTGCTGCTTAATCTCCTGCCTGTTACAAGGATCCTCCTTTAGTCATGTCATCCCCAAGGTTCACCAAGAGGTGACTTTAATGTCACTAATCGTGATATCAGTTGGGGAAAGAGCAGCCTGAAAGAAACGAACAAAACCCCATTAACACAGCAGTGTCCCTCATCAAGAGGAGCACAGAGAGGAAATGAAATGCAGTTCCAGATGCCCTGATCTGGGCTGATGATCTCAATTATTTCGAGCTGAGTTTTGAGCCACGCCATTTGTAAAAGGACAGGACATTTAAACAACATAGGGCTAAGATTTTATAAGGACTCAAAGGGAATTACAAACACAGCATGTGAGAAATTCAACCTAGATCCAGGTCTTGACAGAAATTTTTTTGGCTGTGCTTCTGCATACCTCTCTTCTCTTTATCCCAAGCCCAGGGCCATTAAGACATAGAAATATTATTTTTTCCTTATGTCTAAATACAGCATGACTTTATCATGAGCATGACACAAATCAAAGGGTCAAGTTACCCCAGGACATAGTAGGCAGAAACCAAGAAAGCTTAACTCTCCCTTCCAACTTAATTATCTGTGTCCACTACAGGGTATTCTGAGAGTCAAATGATGGGTAAACAGGGACATCATCACGTAGCTTTTGCACACATGTCACAGCTGCATCCTGGCCTAGATACATCCGATATGCCCAAGGCTGCAAAGTTACGCAAAGCCAGAGAGAAGGCAGGATATAGTGTGATGTACAATGAATATATTAAAGTATGTTTGTAAAAAACATCTAATACTGAGATCACAGAAAACATGAGACTGATCTGAGGCAGATACTTTATTCCTCTCCTAAAACCTTCCCACTAGTTGTCAGTCTTTCAGTTGCCTTAAGACAGAATAAGCCTTTCCTCCCCATCTCCCCCTCCCCGTCACCACAACATTGCTGACCCTGCTTTTGGCTAAATGCTCCAAAAGCAGGCATGTCTTAAGAAAGAAGCAAAATACACAGTCTGGCAGGACAAGCTGTTGTTTTGCAGAATTATCAGTGAGCTTTTCCTTTCTTAAATAGGTCTATATTATATGTATTATTTTGGTTACCTATGGCAAAGAATTGAACATCATGAATT